ATAATGGGACACAGAATGCATCTGGGAGTTCCTTCAGGACAAAAAAGCCATATTGTCTTTCACATCGTCGTTTGTCCAGACGACCTATCAGACGTCCGTTGTTATTCAAACGCCACATCGTGCACGCGCCGTTAGTGATACATTTCGTTATGAGACTGTAGCAACTCTTATCTTAACACGGCAGCAGTCCAGATATAAATCCCTTAGAACACGTTTGGGACATAATGGGACACAGAATGCATCTGGGAGTTCCTTCAGGACAAAAAAGCCATATTGTCTTTCACATCGTCGTTTGTCCAGACGACCTATCAGACGTCCGTTGTTATTCAAACGCCACATCGTGCACGCGCCGTTAGTGATGCATTTCGTCATGAGACTGTAGCAACTCTTATCTTAACACGGCAACAGTCCAGATATAAATCCCTTAGAGCACGTTTGGGACATAATGGGACACAGAATGCATCTGGGAGTTCCTTCAGGACAACAAAAACATATTGTTTTTCACATCGTCGTTTGTCCAGACGACCTATCAGACGTCCGTTGTTATTCAAACGCTACATCGTGCACGCGCCGTTAGTGATGCATTTCGTCAAGAGACTGTAGCAACTCTTATCTCAAAACGGCAACAGTCCAGATATAAATCTCTTAGAGCACGTTTGGGACATAATGGGACACAGAATGCATCTGGGAGTTCCTTCAGGACAAAAAAACCATATTGTCTTTCACATCGTCGTTTGTCCAGACGACCTATCAGACGTCCGTTGTTAGTCAAACGCCACATCGTGCACGCGCCGTTAGTGATGCATTTCGTCAAGAGACTGTAGCAACTCTTATCTTAACACGGCAGCAGTCCAGATATAAATCCCTTAGAGCACGTTTGGGACATAATGGGGCACAGAATGCATCTGGGAGTTCCTTCAGGAAAAAAAACCCATATTGTCTTTCACATCGTCGTTTGTCCAGACGACCTATCAGACGTCCGTTGTTATTCAAACGCCACATCGTGCACGCGCCGTTAGTGATGCATTTCGTCAAGAGACTGTAGCAACTCTTATCTTAACACGGCAACAGTCCAGATATAAATCCCTTAGAACACGTTTGGGACATAATGGGACACAGAATGCATCTGGGAGTTCCTTCAGGACAAAAAAAGCATATTGTCTTTCACATCGTCGTTTGTCCAGACGACCTATCAGACGTCCGTTGTTTTTTCAAACGCCACATCGTGCACGCGCCGTTAGTGATGCATTTCGTCAAGAGACTGTAGCAACTCTTATCTTAACACGGCAGCAGTCCAGATATAAATCCCTTAGAACACGTTTGGGACATAATGGGACACAGAATGCATCTGGGAGTTCCTTCAGGACAAAAACCATATTGTCTTTCACATCGTCGTTTGTCCAGACGACCTATCAGACGTCCGTTGTTATTCAAACGCCACATCGTGCACGCGCCGTTAGTGATGCATTTCGTCAAGAGACTGTAGCAACTCTTATCTTAACACGGCAGCAGTCCAGATATAAATCCCTTTAGAGCACGTTTGGGACATAATGGGACACAGAATGCATCTGGGAGTTCCTTCAGGACAAAAAGCCATATTGTCTTTCACATCGTCGTTTGTCCAGACGACCTATCAGACGTCCGTTGTTATTCAAACGCCACATCGTGCACGCGCCGTTAGTGATGCATTTCGTCAAGAGACTGTAGCAACTCTTATCTTAACACGGCAGCAGTCCAGATATAAATCCCTTAGAGCACGTTTGGGACATAATGGGACACAGAATGCATCTGGGAGTTCCTTCAGGACAAAAACATATTGTTTTTCACATCGTCGTTTGTCCAGACGACCTATCAGACGTCCGTTGTTATTCAAACGCCACATCGTGCACGCGCCGTTAGTGATGCATTTCGTCAAGAGACTGTAGCAACTCTTATCTTAACACGGCAGCAGTCCAGATATAAATCCCTTAGAGCACGTTTGGGACATAATGGGGCACAGAATGCATCTGGGAGTTCCTTCAGGACAAAACCCATATTGTCTTTCACATCGTCGTTTGTCCAGACGACCTATCAGACGTCCGTTGTTATTCAAACGCCACATCGTGCACGCGCCGTTAGTGATGCATTTCGTCAAGAGACTGTAGCAACTCTTATCTTAACACGGCAGCAGTCCAGATATAAATCCCCTTAGAGCACGTTTGGGACATAATGGGGCACAGAATGCATCTGGGAGTTCCTTCAGGACAAAAAAACCATATTGTTTTTCACATCGTCGTTTGTCCAGACGACCTATCAGACGTCCGTTGTTATTCAAACGCCACATCGTGCACGCGCCGTTAGTGATGCATTTCGTCAAGAGACTGTAGCAACTCTTATCTTAACACGGCAGCAGTCCAGATATAAATCCCTTAGAGCACGTTTGGGACATAATGGGGCACAGAATGCATCTGGGAGTTCCTTCAGGTAAAAACGCATCCCTAAACCATGAGAAAAAATACATCAGAATCCTTGTTTAGATGTTCTAATAGTCTCATGAGTGATTTAAGTTAGGGAAACAATGGAGACAGAATGTAGAGAGTTACAAGGAAATCAATAGAGATGAAGTTAGGCTAAGAGAGGTAAAGAGAGAACTCAGTCGTCATGAGGATAGAACAGATTAAGCTTACATTTAAACAAGCGACAAATCAGTTAAAACGGTTGAGTCACCGATAAGTGTTGCCTGGTATTTTTCCAATCTCGACACACTTGAGTTCAAGGTCAGATACAGTTTTACCGAATCAAAACTATATGTTGGAACATGTTATCAATATCAGGCCAGGCTCGAACCATTTAAACAGATACCTTTCGCACGAGTAGTGTAGTGCGCGCTTTTCAATTGACGGAAGCCAATCTACGTTACTCAGTTCCCACTGTGGTACAAGGATACCCTGTCTTGTGTTGAAGTTGTACTACGAGAGCTGGACTGAGGCATAGTAAGCCTAAGTGAGTACAGAACCTGGTGTTGTCTTTATCTTTGAATGTATGTGTGCCAGTACATGAATGTAATGTAAGTTAGGAGTCACGGTCGCCCGACCCTTCTCTCCCGGACTTAGCAGCCCTCAACGGACCAGTCGAGTGGAGAGCTTGAGCTTACATCTCCCTTCACATTGTGGAATGGTCATAATTAGAAGGGAACTGTAGTATGCGCTACTGACGCCCGAAGGCAGTTACGACAGGTATGAGAACAAGCTCTTCATAAAAATAACTCAATGTCAAATTCAAGGTCAGATACATTAAATAAGGACGAAGGTCAGGGATGTTATTACATATGGCGGAGGTTACTCCAGATATTGACATATTGACATTTAGCTCGGTTATTGATGTATTGTGATTGTTTTAGAATGATTGTATGCTAGAATCTTGAAAACTACCACACTTGTCATGCAACAATAGTTATCAGCACTACAAAAAGAGTAAATTTTGTGCCATGTTTGCTTGTTTGAATATACTAGTTTTCTTTCTTTTCGCTTTTGGATTTGACAATAAAGTATTCCTTGGGGATCAATATATCCAGGTAGTAAGTTAAATTAAGGTATGGATAAGCACATTCGATATAGATGATACTTTGAATATATGGGGTGTTGCGATATATTTTCCAGGAGTACAATGTGCCAAAAATAGGGGGATTTTGTTAAGGTGAAATTATAGGGAATACACCGCAATGCCTAGCAATGAAAGAAAGTGATTTATGTGACAAGAACCTTCCAAATAATCCAAGCTCACATCATGAAACGCGTGAGTATGTGCAAGGCGTAGTACCGAAGATTTAACGCTACCATTCAGTTTTGGTTAGACGCATCCTTCCCCCAACCTAATATATGTACTAAAAGACAGTTAATTACAATGTACTAAGGAAGCGACAGTGAGACGATTGCAGAGTTCTGAACTGACCAACCTATCAGAAGCATTTCTCGAAGAATCCGTTCATGTTTGTCCGACCGAGGTGGTTTTACTATATAGTGACGATTGCTGCAAACTGCAAATTTCAAATTGCACCCTGGGGCAATCCTCTTTAACGACCGAGTGGGCAAGCCATCTCATCACACATAGCTTTAGCCATTACATCTGATCGCCTACTCACGAGCAGATATGATCTTTTCAAATACCTTTTTTCCAGTACCAGAACATATGTTGTGATGATATCTGCCTGCCTGTCTGTCTCTCCATCTTGGGGTTTGGCCAATAATGCTTGACCAAACATGCAATTTCGCAACAAAGGGCAACTAGGGATTCAGAATTATACCAGGGTTCAAACAGCTGTTGGTATTAGTATCTATTTTCTCACAAGATTTTGCTAAAACTTGCATTAGACATCGCTTGAACAAAATATGACGTAAAATCTTCCGAATATTGAAGTACAGCCTCATATCGAAAATTAGCTTTTGGACCACATGTGTTCTTCTGTTATCTCTTTCCTGAAACGGTTGAACGAAGATGAAAGTTAAAATATAACGATATAAGCACAACAAGCACAAGATCAGCACCCACCTAATTCCCGTTTGCAGAAACGCACGGTTCACTGCATTAATGGTACAACATCTTACCAAATCAAAAAACACTTTGAAGCAATTTTATTAAACATGGTCACGATCTCTCGTTGACTGAAACTTCAAAGATCATTAAAATTATGCTTTGTCTATGTAGTAATGGATTGTTTAAATCTGTATACTGAGTTTGGGTATCTTCCTGGTGGATATCATTAGTGTGTCTTGGGAACACGTATTTTCGTTTTGAATCACGACGTGGCTGGGGCAAGGTCCTTTTGAAAGTTGCAACATAGTTTTTGTGAAGTCAGTAAAGCACGGTTACCGTTTATGTTTTGTGTTATAATATGACTTTCTAGAAGAGGATCGGGTTATAAGTGCTTCTCACGTGACAACATTGTAATTGGGCACTTGTACACAGTTCCTTCATGTCGATGTAGGAGGAAACGATCCCCGGCGTAACAAACCCAGTGAGAGCTATAAACACAACCGCATGGCATCATAGTAGTCAAAAGTGGTTTTGGTTTCAGACTTGGCTGAACTTTTCCTATCAAACAGATAAGAGGGCCTGTCCTCATAATCAAAGAGTAACAAGTCCTTGAGGTATTTCAACCGCAGTTGTTCGAGGTCCTCCAAAGAAACCTGACTGTATGCCTGGAGCAAAGCTTCCTGTTTGTTCAATCTGGCCTTGGGCGATGACCGCTGATATGCACTCAACATCAAGTTCATTATCACTGTGACATTTGCTTCACGGCTCTCGTCAGGGTTCAAAGGATATTCGTCATACTTATCAATCAACCCTCCAATTTGTAGAACACGCCACAGACGAAGATGTACCATGTGGTCGCTGATGCATTTTAAAGATTTTTTCTTCATTATAAAAGCTCTTTGTACTTTAAAAATAATGTTATCCACGTTCTTTTCTTCTACAAAATCCTTGAACATGACACCTTTCTCAGATGCATTAGTCATATTCAGAAAGTACATAACGTCATGCTTAAATGTTTCCACTTTACCTATCATGTCATAATGAATATCACATACGTCACATTGAGAAGATACAGGCTTAAAATGAAAATCGTAAGTTTCGGCGTCCGTTTGTATCAGATATTTCACGAGTTCTCCAAACTGTACATCGTGGCCACACTGAAGCATTGTATTTGACTCGGGTTTTCGAACAGCACGTATAATTCTTCTGCCAAAAGACCAATACCCACCGTTTGGACTTGCCAGTTTATCAATGTAAGATGAGAATATCCTCTTGTAGGGATCTCGCGTAAATATGATTTTCCTGGCGGAATTTATTCTTTGCGCAATTTCTGATTGTTTTCCAGATGTAATGTGATATCGTGACTTAGGGCCGTCTTGAATCTCGAACGGAGAACTATATTCACCTGTCTCCAGTACATGAAGCATTCTGAACCAGAATTTTGTCCCAACCTTTGGTACGGTACAGAAAAGAACATTGATGTTCTCGTAATACGATACTCGTGCCATGGTGTTAGCCTTTTCAGATCTCCTCATCCAAGGGCACATCTGATTCACATGTTCCTTCCGCTGTTTCAGTGGCGCTTCTTCAAATTCCTGGAACGGTAACGACAGATAAAGTTTCAGACTGCGTTAAACGTGCAGTAAAACGTGACACAAACGACTGGATTGTATGAATTGATGAAATCATCTCAGTCTAACTATTCAAATTGATCCAACATCCCTGGATAATAATCTTCAACTGAAAGACTAATTATGATACTGTTCATGCATATAAATGAATATACTGACCATGAGTGCATCCGTTTTATTCCCCAGCTGTTGATGGATCTGACGCATAGCTGCTTCAGAGAATGCGTCTTTCTCTGTAATGCTTTCTTGGATATTCAGGCTCACGTGCGACATACGTGCCACGTATTTTCCTTGATTGTCTGCAGATCAAAACGCATACATAGGATAGGCACTTACAAACATCCTATCTCAAGACTGTATAGCAAATGGGTCGCTTTGAGGCATCTGATTGTTATCCAACAATTTTCTGTCTGAAATAGGTTAGTTTCGTCCATGCTCATTTACATTTAGTTATAACACATTTCTATTTAAGCGACTCTTGTGATATTGTGTTCTGTTTATCATCTGCATTTCCAAAGTCATAAAATGTTGTTTACATTCCGGAGATATAAAGAATATACCATAAAAATTGCACACATTGCAAACTATAAAAAATTTAAACCAAATATCATAATTTGAAATACACATACAACAAATAAAAAAAATTTCTTCCCGAAAATGATGGAACATTATTTTTCTGTATGTTTGATATACTATTCGAAAACTGGACCTGTTCTACAAACAATATTTTGTGGGTTCCAACAATAATGTTTGGTGTTTCCCTCTTGTCACATCAAAAACATTCCCAACTCTCTCTGCCAAACCAGGATAAGAAATTGCAAAACGCAAAATACAGACACATTCGGTTCTTGTCATCTCTACGTGCTGTTCTGTAGTTGTGTCCAATACACAAGTTGTGTACAATAAAGAACCCACGAATCCTTTGGTATATGACCAGATGGTGGCCACATAAATACGTGCAAACACCTAGTTGCGGGTACAGCAACGTGCAGTAAACTTGGACAAAGTACTGTGACTATGTGTCCCAGTCCACCCAGCTGTAAATGGGTACCTCGTAAGGATGGGGAAGCCGCAATAACTCGGTGCGCCTTATGGCAGCAAGAGTTGTATGGCCCCAGGGAGCTGAGATTGTGCTGTTGAGATTGACACCCAATGATCGAGGGACAAAATACCAGCGCCTTGAGCATGCACTAGTGCGTGGATATGTGAGCTATATAAATATCCAATAATAAAGTAAAAAATGGGAAAATAAGAAAAAAATTATCAAACAAAATAAACTGTTTAGAAATAATGAAAAACACTTCTACAGGCAACTGAAAACAAATGGTGATGGTGAGCATAATATGCGGCCTCCCATGGATGCCAATGAAAGGTTCTGGAAACAGTTGACGTCTGTTATCGGCGACTTTAACCTGGAGCTACCATGGGTCCATGGTTATGACCATGCAATGCATGAGAAAGTAACTAGGTCGTTTGTCTGATGCATCTCACCAGATTGCCTGAAAAGTGTCATCAAAAAGTCCAAATCTAATACAGCTCCAGGGCCTGATGGCATTCGAAACCGGTATTGGAAACTGTTCCCCTGTGTCCAAACACCATGACTTCACTGTTTCAACTCTCTTGTGGACACATGTGATGTTCATCCATGGTTCTGCAAAGGTCGAACAATACTCCTTCCCAAGAAAGGAGACTTTACTGAAACCAAACATTTCCGCCATATCACATGTTTGAATACTCACTATAAAATTTCCACAGGGTGTTTGACAAACTTCATGTTATCCTACTGTTCTTCCAATGATATAATTTATAGAGAACAGAAGGGGGCGAGAAAGGGATGTTGGGGTGCAAGGATCAACTTCTTGTACAGAAAATGATTTTGGAAGATGCTAAAACATATCACCGAAACCTCTCCATGTGATGGATTGATTATAAAAAGCACATGACTCTGTCCCTCATGAATGGATTCTGATCTGAGTTGTATTGACCTCCCTGGACGACTACTTGATTTACTCAAGTCTTTAATGAGTTGCTGGTCGAATCAACTTGAGATGTACTCGCAAGGGCAGGTGCAGACTTCGGAATCTATTCCAATCAGAGTGGGGATTTTCCAGGGGGACTCCTTCAGTCCTTTGCTGTTTTGTTTGTCTTTAAATCCTTTGAGCTTTCTGCTCAATAGAGAGAGGAGGGTTACCATCCAGGGCCTCCTCAGCACAGATCCCCAACACTGCTTACTCATCTCATGGATGATATCGAGCTTCTTGCCAAAGGAAACACCAACTTGAACGTTCAGGTTCTCCTTGTCGAGTCCTTTTCTAGTGATATTGGCATGGCAGTTGGACTCGACAAATGTAATACTCTTCAATTTCAACGTGGCAAGGTAACTAATGATGGATCGGTCAGGTAACAAGGGGGAGCAGTTATTGAGCATATCGTGGAAGATCAGGCCTACACCTGTCTTTGAATGCAAGTTCGAGACAAGCTCCAGAATGCCCAGATTAAAAAAAACCTTCGGGCCGAGTATAAATCTCGCTTAAAGAAAATCTGGACCTCAGATCTAAATGCTCAAAACAAGGTCAAAGCCACCAATACTTTTGCTGTGCCAGTCCTTTCCTATTCCTTTGGAGTAGTACAGTTGATTGGACAAAACAAGACATCCAGAATCTTGACTGCCTGACCAGAAGAATCATGTCTGATAACAGAGCTCACCACCCTCGCTCCTCTCTTAATCGTTTATATATGCCAATCAATTCTGGAGGTCGGGGTTTGATTAATGTGGAGGCTCTTCATGATAGAATTCTTTTGTGTACATTTGCACATATGTATTTATTGGATGATCCTCTGGTGATGCATGTCAAGACTCATGATGAAAGCAAGGAATTCCACAGCTATTTTAAGCGTGCCAAGGTTGTTGGACAGAATCTGAAATTTGAGGTTGATTTTGCTGATGGCGATGTACTGCTGGACGGTACAGCGATGGGAGTAAACCAGGTGAAGTCCTTCACCAAGTCTGCCCAGAGTCGGTCTTTTGTGGAGAAGCTTTCTGAGAAGCCATTGCATCGTGTGTACATGCAGTGTGTGGAACAGAATAGCAATCCCAAAGACTCCTTCGCCTGGACGAAGTCCGCTGGTCTTAAACTGAGGGCTTCCTTTTTGCTGCTCAGGACCAGTCACTTCCCACTTGAAATCGCCAAAATGTGATTCTTAAAGAAAATATCAATATGAAATGCCGACTTTGCAATGAATTGACAGAGACCCATGTCTAACACCTTGTCAGTGGATGCCCTTCCTTGGCACAAACAGCATATCTGGAATAGGCCCATATATAGCCTCAGAAGAATTCCAGCCAACAAACCTGATCTTGTCCTTTTTGATAAAGTCAATGAATTTATTTATATCATTGAATTTTCTATCTCTTTTGACAGCAACGTGATTGGCAAGATTCAGGAAAAGCATTCTAAATATGCGGACCTCGCCTTTGAAATGTCTCGCTTACACCCCAATGACACTGTCGTCGGGCTCCCCATTGTTCTCGGTGCCCTTGGTTTGGTACCTCCTGATCTCTTGGTGCAGATCAGGAGAGTGCCCGGGTTCTCTACCGGGAGCACAGCCCTTCTGACACTCTGGGTAATGCATAAGGCTGCAGTGTTGGGGAGTCTAAATATTCTCCGTAAAGTTCTTGGTGGGTTCGACTAGGCAGTGTTTCCTGGGAGAAGTCCCATTCGCTGTCTGGGCTGCGTGTAGAGGAGGCAAGGGCCCTGAGCTGATGATGAGCCTTACCAGCCATACTGTGCCAGGATAACCCGAACCCTCGCTGCTGCATTTTTCATCTTAATCTGTAAAACATAATAATAGTGCCAGGATCACCCGAACCCTCTCTGCTGCATATTATCTTTAATCTGTAAAACATAATACTAGTTCTCCCGTATTTGTTTACTTACCAGTATACCAGGTAGAACACATAAAACTTAAGAACAGGAAGACTGCCACACAAAGAAACGTCACTCTGTACGATCGATCTGCATTCTTGATTGAACATGCTGCCACGGATCCACATATCCGGATCCAGATATAGATGAGATCTACCCTGTGATGTCTAATCCAACTCTGAAACAGAAAAGGTAAGTTCCCCCATGAGTATGCATACTGTCTTGTGGTTCAGCTTCCTTTGTATGTTCTGACTGAACTTTGCTCTTTCCTTGATAACATTTAGATCTGGTCCAATGACGCATCTGTTCCTTAATTACTGATAACTGTTTACCTTTTTAGACGTATCCGTATACAAAATGTTTTAAAAAAATCTTATCATATTAATGTTGATGCTAACAGCAGATCTCAGTGGCAATTGCTGAAAC